TCCGATCTTATATATATATATATATATAATTTGTTGTCGGGATCCTGATTCTGGGGTTCGGTCTGGAAATTTGCAGGTGCTGAAGACAAAGGACTACATCCAGGTCGAACAAGCAAAGCCCTTTGACAGCATCAAAGTAAAGCCTCGACCAAAGCTAATGAAATCCATCTTCTGAGTGGTGGTGGTGGAGGATATATCTTCATCTTCCCTCTATTTAAATTATTACACATTTTTCCCTTCTTGTAGGGCCTTTGTAGTGTAATAGAAGTGTTGAGTTCTGTTGTTTTATCATCTATACACATACATATATACACATATATGTATGTATGTGGTGTTGTATATATATGCATAATAATATGATATCGGGTCTTCATATATAATATTATACGTACACGTTGTTTATGTACGCATGCATTTATCAACTACGTACCAATTCATACATCAATAGTCTTTTTGTTACAACCTTCACATGACCGAGGATAATACACGTAATATTGCACGTGATAAATTCCAATAATAAACAAATTTGGTTGTGGAAATTCGTCCAAATTGATCGACCATCGTGCATGCATATTTATTGCCGCAGCTTACGATATGATTGGTACTCATTTCATATGAGCAGATTTTTTTTGAAAGACAAAGTGATAATGCATACATCTTAGGGTTTGAAATTTTAATTTGAGTATATAAAACTAAAGCAAATGAAATAGAATGATATATAGTTGTATATAAAGTTAATTTGAATATAATTTTTAAACTAAATTAGTTGAATTGAATTTTAATCTGAATAAAAGATAAATGAAATAGAGCGGTGTCTTTTTCTTAAATTTAAAATATAAGCCACGTTTTGCACAAAATTATATTTCAGTATTTCTTTAACAAATAGAGTTGATAGATATAAATATTAACGAACCGTTCCTTTTAGAATTAGCTTTTAATTCATAATTCGGTAAAAGTCAATGTTTTGCACATCACTTCCCTTAGATCTAACTCATCAATTGGTAGTCATAATTTATTTATAATTTTCAAGAAATAAGAAAATTGGTAACTGTTGTATCTTTATAAATCGTCTTCCTCTCGCTGCCGAGACAAGTCGCCCTTTTTGTCCGTCATTCCGCCTCGCAGTGAACCGTCTTACTTACCTCAGCAATGGCGGCGGCGGCGGCGGCTGCGATACTGTACCCAGCTTGCGTTTGGACCCGGAATCCGAATACGGGTTCTGGTTTGCCGGCTAGAAGAACATCGGAAACCGTACAAGTTCCGGCGAGACCCGAAAACTCTGACGGGAGGAGGAGGAATGCCACCGTCAAGTCTGAAACACGACGGCGGACTGTCATGGCCGCCGCTTCCGTCAGTAATGCCGCCACCTCCGCCGCCGAATCAGTGGCTCCGGCGGCTCCGGGGGGGGGGGTTTTCTGCTCGATTTCAGCTATGTTGTTTTGTAATTGTTTGAGCGTGAGCCTTTTTTGCAGCATGGTTTTCAAGCTATGTTGTTTTGTAATTGTTTGAGCGTGAGCCTTTTTTGCAGCATGGTTTTCACTGATACGAAATGGGTTTTCTGTTTTCTCTCTGTTCCGAACACGAACTTAGAATCAAAGAATATTCGGGAATCGGAACCCTTTTTAGCATCCTAAGAGAGAAATGGTCTCGTTTAATTCATAGATGTGTAATACTTCATAAAGGTAAGATTTTTTTATTTTATTTTATCTATTCGGCTGAAACTGAGCGAACGCCAACAATGAAGGAATTTTGTATTCCGTGCGTGAAATTGAATAGCTTAATGTAATTTTGAAATGCATGACCTTTAGGAATGCGTCTTGGGGGTAGAAATTTCAACGCATGCTCGATGCTTTTTGCTCTGCTTCCTTTGTTTTGCATATCCTATTTGTCGGAGGAGTTCCCTGTATTGCCCGCTTTGTTGAGAGGCATGGCTTAGGAAGCTTAGTCTTTTGAACATCTTCTACTCTTTCTGGTTCTCTTATGAATTCTTGCAGAATTGATGACATGTTTATATTCCCTTTTTCTTATTTGGCGAATCCGTAGATATGATTCTTCCCTGCTGGATTGATTGTTTCTTCAAATGAGACGGATATACGTTTAATGCTCCATAGTGCTCTTTTTCAGAAGCTTTTTCATCTCTGGATATGACTTGCTCTTTTGTATAAAACGACTCTTTATCTGTAAATGGTTGCACAGGGTGGGCAAAACAGGATGCAAGGAAAACCCATGAGGACTGTTGTATCAAAACCTTATGAAAATGATGCACTGGATATGTATAGAACATTAGGAGCGTTCTTATATTGTATAATTCCTTATTGTTTCCTTTTTGGTGGATTAACCTTTGTTGCTTCTCTGGAGTTTATGTGTGAATTCATGCTTATCTTTACTGTCAACTATCGACACACTTCGGGTGTCAAAATGATCAGAATTGGAATTAAAGCTTATGATCTTTAGGACAACTCACTATTGGTTTCAACCTGGGTTTATAGCATGCTTGCTAGCTTGTGGTTTCTTGATCTGTCCATACTTTGGTTGACTTTAGTTCCTGGTTATTCTTTGTGGTTTTCATTTATAACACTCTGATTTATGACCTGCATATATTATTTTAAATGTCATCATCCTATTTCCAGGGTTAGGCGGCATACTATTTCAGTGTTTGTGGGAGATGAGAGTGGAATAATAAACCGGATAGCTGGTGTCTTTGCTAGAAGGGGCTACAACATAGAGTCCCTTGCTGTTGGACTGAATGCAGACAAGGCTCTCTTTACTATAGTTGTCATTGGGACAGACAGAGTTTTGCAGCAAGTTGTGGAACAGCTCAACAAACTCGTTAATGTCATCAAGGTTTAACGCTGTTCCCAACTGCTTCCGTTGTTTGCTACAACTTGTTACATTGACGATTTTCTAGTTCTTCTTTTGGTTTCACGAAATGTTCCAGGTAGAAGATATCTCCAAGGAGCCACAGGTAGAACGTGAGTTAATGCTCATTAAACTTAATGCTGGTCCAAGCACGCGCACTGAGGTAATGACAGAGATTCGTTTCCAAACTCTTCTGTTAAAATTTGTTGATCTTGGGGGAATGCATTGTGCTTGGATTATCCAGATAATTCTTACTATCGGGTGGGGAGCCGTAGATGGGGCTTGGAGTTTTCTCGACCTATTTTACATCAAAACATTTATAAAGTTGAGGATATAATTGATTAAGTATTCCTGATAAGTTTTGAGAAAGTTTTGTTTGTATGTGGACTTTGTTGTTTCCATCTCCAGATCATGTGGTTGGTCGACATCTTTAGAGCAAAAATAGTGGATACCTCGGAGCACTCTCTGACAATTGAGGTGGACCTTTTTCTCTAGATATGTATTTCGCTTTCAACTTGCAGTTCTGATGAATGTTTATTAATGAGAAAATGGTATTAGCTTGGCAGAAAGTTCAATCCGACTGGTTCTGAGGCATGTTTTTTTTGTCAGTTTCTTACTTTTATCTGCATTCAGATGGTAAAAAATGATTCTAATATGTCACATCTGCATCTCTTAGGTCACTGGAGACCCGGGAAAGATGGCTGCTCTACAGAGGAACTTAGAAAAATTTGGAATAAAGGAAATTGCCAGAACCGGGAAGGTAATATTGCATATGATGCTATTGTTTATGAAACTATTAAGTTTTCCTTTTTGCACCTGTAACTTCAACAATTAAACAGTCTTCATTGATAAATAGTGCGACTCCTAAACCATTCCCGTATCTTATTCTTTAGATTGCTCTGAGGAGGGAAAAGATGGGGGAGACAGCTCCATTTTGGAGGTTTTCAACAGCATCATACCCAGATCTGGAGGAAAAACCATCTCATGCAACTGTCATAGAGAAAACGAAGTTGGCATTGAATGACAATGGCAATGGAATTGAGCCATCAAGGGTATACGAAAATAGCACCTTATGGGTAACATTAGATTGTTTTGGCTCTCTCTGCATCTAAGCTATGCACCGGTTTGGTTTGCTTGAGAACCCGTCCAAGTCAGGATATCATCTTTTCCTTTTGGGTCTAATTTTGAGATTATGATATAAGTTACATCTTTCTGGTATGGGAAATGGGATGGTCAAGCTTTCAATCAATATACATACTTGATCATGCATGTGTACTGTCTCTTGCAGAAACTTGAATACATCATATAGCATTTACATCTCATACCTAGTTTTATTGCATTCTGTCGTGGTGATCGTGCTAGTTTATCTGAGTTTAGTGTTTTGGGTTTTTCTTGTTGAAAAGCGTCTCTGTTCCTTCTGGAATGTTCTAGAATCTAGGGAATAAATGCTGCTAGTTCATATTTTTCCGAATCTCTTAATATTTATCAATTTACTATCTCATTGATTAAACTTTCGTATTAGCGAGATTCAATGCATACTGTCATGTTATAAAAACCAAAGATGAAGCTATGCGGTGCCTGTTGCATAATTGAAATTTAAGTTGTAAGTGTTCTTGAATTAAAACGTGAAGTTCAATAATATCTTGAAATTAGAAAGATGGTTAAAGACGGGAGACATTGAGATGCACATGTAGTGAGAATGATGTGTTTTTTTTTGCATATATCCACGGTTTGATAAAGACATGTTGTGTTTAATTTCAGGGCGACGTTTATCCCGTGGAACCGTACGATGACTTCCAACCGGTCCTTGATGCCCATTGGGGAGCTGTCTATGATGAAGATGTAAGACAAATGACTTAAGATAATACATTTATTTCATCGAATTCGTGTTGGACTGAAAAGACAATATGTTCATATAATAAGAAATATGAACTGTTAAGCCTTCTTCTCCAAACGGTGGTCCATGGATTTTTGTCATGCAATGTTTATTCCATCTCAGTCCTTAATTTTCATTGTACAGACATCACTTTGCTTATTATTGTTTAACCATAAATGAATAGTTGTTTGAGTTTAGACTAACATGAAAACCATTTCATGAGAAAGGCACTTGCAATGCTTGCCCTGTTTCTGTTCTGAGCTCATCTTGGCATGTGTTTTATCTTTAGTCAACTGGAATGCGATCACACACGTTATCTATTCTTGTGAACAATTCTCCGGGAGTCCTCAATGAAATAGCTGGAGTTATCTCCCGTAGAGGCTATAACATCCAGGTTATTCCTCCTCCTAGTTTCGATCCTTTTGATGTATTCTACTCTTTTTTCCATAGAGGATCTAATTCTGTTCTTTCACAATGTTTTTTTACAGAGTTTAGCTGTTGGACCTGCTGAGAAAGAGGGTCTCTCTCGGATCACGACAGTTATTCCTGCCACTGATGAAAAGACGAGCCAGTTGGTTGGACAACTTCACAAGTTGGTGGATATTCACGAGGTGAGACAATACGGATATTCTCTTCTTCCGGGTCGAGAATGGTAAGAACAGTAACCTTGAGTTTATGTTTTAGGTCCGAGATATGACCCACTTGCCATTTGCGGAACGAGAGCTTATGCTCATAAAAGTAGCGGCTAACACTGCTGCAAGGAGAGACCTTCTTGATATTGCCCAAGTTTTCCGTGCTAAAGCTGTTGACGTGTCTGACCATACTATTACTCTCGAGGTCATACATCCTTATCCTTAATGGCATCATAAACATGTTTTTTTTCCGGGCTAGTACACAGAAATATCTCACTTTTCAGCACGGGAAAATAACAAATTGTTGAAATCTTTCAATCTCAAAAGATGTTTTATACTCGAGCTCTAGTTCATCAATTTAGTTCCTTTTTTTTTTTGTCATGTTTCCCTTGTTGAATCGGATATTACTTCATGGCAGCTGCTTATCACATCATCTCAGTTTCGTCCATCGATGTTATCGAGACCCAATCTCGGGTTTTGTTCTTTTTCGGTTAGTACATCTGATAAAGTGAGTTGGCAAATGGCGTGCAGGTCACCGGAGATCTTAGAAAAATGGCTGCTCTTCAGAACCAGTTAGAGACTTACGGAATCTGTGAGGTAAAAAAACAACATTTTTCTTTTTGATTAGATTAAGATATCGTCTTATTATGCAATAATGAATTTTCTGCAATGTTTCTGAAGGTGGCTCGGACAGGGAGAGTGGCTTTAGTCCGAGAATCCGGAGTGGACTCAACGTACCTCCGTGGATATTCTCTTCCTTTGTAATAATACTTCATCTGTTTCACGTCCCCTTCACTAACTCTCAGGTGACGATCTCTACAATCATCCTCCATTGATATGCATCATACATGATGATTGCTGTTACCATGTCATCGACATCCTCCATGGATCATTGGCATATTCAATATCTCCTCTGCATTATCACCGGACATCATTCATCAAGTGGTGTTATGTGCAATATCATCATGATCATGATCATCGTACAGTAGCATCATTATGGTACCTGATATCGTCTCTCTCTGGTCAGGAACTCAACATCGGAAGCACCCCATGCCCTGGAGATGGTTAACGCGTGTATGTTGTTCAGCATGATGTTGTATCATCTATCGTCTGCATCGCATCGCATCGCATAATTGTGGTGTTGTCTACTAACGATGGTTCGAACAAATATAGAGCGTTCTAACGAAGTAGTTTTCTTGAGTTGCACGGCACGTCTTGTTTAATGTCTTAAACTAAGAATGCCGAAATTACTTATTGTATGGTGTCGATGAGATGTAACCTCGGTTTGGTTTTCTACCCCAAAACCAATTAAACCGAATCTAAACAAACTGTACCGGTAAAATTGAGTAAAGCCTGTCCACCGTCTTCCTTCACAATAAACGGCAATAATTCGGACAAAACTCACTTCTGATGATATCAATGGAACAAGCATGAGAGAGAGAGAGAGTACACACGACTAAGACATAGATGATGCACATGAAGAGGTCATTGTTGATGGATGATTTAGTTCTATGTTAGTTTCCATCCATGGCTTCCTCCACTTAATTAGCATCTACTTTTGCAGAATGGATTACGATACAAGCCATAAAAGGGAAGTATGATACAGACAGAGTGTGATGAAAGATGAGATAATCTAACCAAAGTGGGTCGAACCCTATTCTTATCCTAAATCTGCAGTTGCAGTTCCTTCCCTTTCAGTTACATTGGTAATCTTCATAAGTTCCACAAAAGCCATAACCTTTACAGTCGAGAGCAGAAGCAAATTACAAACGTGTAATGTAACCAAAACCCATACCTGAGAAGATCATCCAGCCTTACGAAACCGCCCGATCATCGTTTCCATAATGATTCTGCATCCAGATAGAGACACCATTAACGAGTTTAGTAAATGGTCTGTTACTGACTGTGATGAAAAACATCAGCTATCTGCTCTGTCGGAATCAAGCAATTGTTAGCATTCCAAAGTTATTGCCTTTTGTCATGTCACATGAACCTCCAAACCAAAATCATATTCGCATTCATGATCTCAATCCTCAAGCAATTCCTACTAAATCTGCGAAATTTAAGTTCAATCTCCTCAATCCTTGATTGATTCATGTCCGGTGATAGACGGTTAATCATCGAGTTCGTGGAACAAACAAATGGGAGAGAGAGAGAGAGAGAAACTGACCGGAGAACCGTCGGATTGATCGAGATCAACGGCGGTGCAATCGCGAGGGGACTCGAAGAGGGAGAGAGGTAACTGCTTGTCGGCGACGCCGACATCGAAGTGGATCAAGCCGGAGGAGTCGGGATCGAGGTGGATGCCCTTGACGGGGAACCACAGGAAGAGCTCCTTCTGAGTAACACCGGATAACTCCCCGATGCGGCCGTCGGAGAGGACGCCGGAGATGTTGAAGTCGAAGTGGAACTGGTTCTCGATCTGGGCTTCGCAGGGGCCGGGCAGGGTGACGGTGAACCGCCCTGTCTTGGGGTCTATTGAAAAGTCCATTATGCCCTTCGGGACTATCCCGGCGGGAAGGCCGTTCTCCCGGAGGTAGTCGTAGAACGACGGCTCCGACTGCAAGGAAGACCGAAGCAGAAGCGAAAAGAAGATGGAGATGAGGCAGAAATTTCTAGGGTTTCTGAGATCGAAGCCCATGGTTTCCGATTATCCACCGCCAAATCGTTCCTCTTTTTTTTTTTGATGGAGAGCGTGGATCCGGCAAAAGCGGAGAAAAGGAAAAGGAGATTCAGACAGTTTCGGTTTCGATCTCTCTCTCTCTCTCCAGCAGGAAATGCGTTTCGTTCTCAGTTCCATTATTCTTTACTTTACCCAAGTTTTTGTTTCAGCTTGCCTCTTTTTCCAGTTTCATTCGGAAACGGCTTACCAAATTTATGTTAAAGAAAGCAAATTTTATAAAATAAAAGAAAAATCAAAATTATTTTACAAGATCTTTCTAAAAGAAATTGTAAATTTCTAATTTCTTACCATATAAATTGCGATGTGCTATTGTAGCAAAATATGATATGAAACAAACTGCAGCTGATTAAGCCAAATTTGAAACTGACTTAAAAACTAATTTGTAGGTGAGCCAGCCAATAATGAATTATAAAATATTTATTGAACATAAATCTACTGAACAAAAGAAAAAAAAAGAAAGAAATGCAAAACCCATCTTACAAAAATGAAATGTGCTTTTAAACTTTAACCCTCGAGGAAAATGAGGATCCCCAAAATAAAACAACTAAACAGAGAAGATTCTTGAAAACAAAAATCAGATAAAAAAATAATAATGTCCCAATCTGATTCATCATCAACTGAATCTCATCATCTCCGACCAAAACCAACATAAGCATTAAGCACACCAAAGACAAAACATTCCAAGAGAGCCCAACTCACTGATGCTTTTACCTATCATTGATGGTCTTCTCCTCTGCCGTTGTATGGATTCTCCTCCTCTATGGTTGAATTACAAACAGAGGCTGAGCATTTGATTCACAAACACATAGACGAGTTAGTCACATGAAGCGAGTAATACTGGCTTGCAGGAATACACAGAGATCTTTGTGATCGAAAGAATGACACAAAGAAGATCTAACTACTTACCGAATCTACACTAACAGGCTTCCCGTCTTCTGCCAAGATATCAACTATCGTTCCCGATTGGTCAGCCTGGAGAGAAGAATACACGTCAAAGTTAAACCCGAGTAGAGAGACTCAAAGAGGTAATACATGGACTTGCAAAACCGAGTTTGGTTTAAAGCATGGCAGAAAACTTATGCCTCTGCTTTTTCTTGGGGAGAGATGATGATATTCTGGAAGAGATGCTGGCTCAAAAATCAGAAATTAGGAACTCACCTCTATTTCGTTCATCAGTTTCATGGCTTCTATGATGCATAGAACTTGTCCCTTCTGCACTTTATCTCCAACCTAAAGCAGCAAAAGAGCAGCACCATAATGGCAAAACATGTAAACATTATCAGTCTTCAAGACTTTAATTCTTGGCTATCCAAAACAATGTTTTATACCATTTTTCTTTTCTTCTTTCGAATACAATTTATGGCACACAACACATTCATGAGGTGCCCTTAGCTTAGCTTAGTGGAAAACAGTTAGCAGCCCAACTTAGGAGGAAGAGGGCAAATTTTTTTCCACAAGTGAAGCTTAAATGCACAGGCAGGTGCTGACATTTATAAAACCAGCCTTAGAGAAAACCAGCAAAGATACTGACCTTTATGAAAGGTGGTTCGGCAGGTCCTGGGCTACGGTAGAATGTGCCTGCCATAGGGCTTTTAAGAGTTGGAAGCGATGACTTGGCAGATGGAGGAGGGGATGCTGGAGCAGATGGGGCTGGAGAGGAAGGAGCCAGCGAAGAAGCAGGTGGAGCAGGAGCAGGGGAAGGTACTTGATGCATGAAAGATGGTTGAGTAGGTGGCTGCATCATAACAACCGGTGTAGGAGATTGTGGTTGAGGTAAGGCCTCCTTTTTCCGGATGACCAGTTCACAATCGAGTTGTTTCAACTGCAATTCGACTACGTCTCTTGAATCAACAAGCCTACAGAATAGATGGTCATTATCCAAGCGGAGTTAATATGATCCTGTTGAAAGAATAACAATACACCAAATATATCTACACATCACAGCTCGTGATCTGGAGAATTACTTGACAAGATCTGTTACTTGGGTAAGGAACTCGGATATGGACTCTTCGGTAGCTAAAGAAGATGGGGAAGAAGATTCTTTCGATGAGTCACTATCCTTTCCTTCAGCAGCCAGCACTTCAAGTTTCGTGGATGCTGCCGAAGCATTAGATGGTCCATCGCCACCAACCTTTAAAGACAGGGGGAAACTCCAGAAATGAAGACGTTTTGGATAAAAAGAAGACATTTTCTTCACGAAATTCACTACAGAAAAAAAAAATGAAGCAGCGTACCTTGTTCGATTGCGCTTTCACCACAGAAAAACTATTCAGACTCGGCTGCATGTTTCAGATGCAAAATTAGACACCCAGAAGAACAAAAATATTGTTTCTTACTTAATTCCCATCGATTTAGGCAAAGAACGCGGCAGAAATTTGCTCAAAATCAAGAGAATTCATGAATCGAACAGTCCTAATTTCCCTTCTCGAAATGCCATTCCCCATTTCAAATACAAAGTCCACAAGAAGAGCGAGATCGAATCGTAGGCACAAATTATTTCGACAAACAATTAGAACATTACCAACAAAATTGAAGCGCAAAGAGAGCGAAACTCGAACCAAATTCAAAATTATACGAAAACAGCAGTTACGCACAAACAGGACCACATTATAAGGATTATGGTTCCAATTGGAGAGGGAGTTTGGAGAAATCATGTACCTTGGAGAGAAAGCGAAGCTTGGGCCTGGAAGAGAGGCGAAAGGAGACTCTGCGAGGAAGATGAGAACGGTTCTGGAGAGGGAAGCGCGACGTCGTTTTGGAGACGGCGGAGACGGAGGCGGCCGGCGATGTGGCTGAGAACGAAGAAGTCGCCATTTTTCTTCTTCTGCTCTTCCTTCAGAACTTAGCGAGCGAGCGAACGAGAGAGAGAGGGTTTTTGGCTCCGTGTAGTCTCTCGATGAAACCAAAGACGCACTCAACAGTCACAAACAAGAGAGACAAGACAAATCAGACTAGGGGTTTGCTGATGATTATACTCGCTCCATGATGCTGCCACGTGTCGTCCTGATGCGGTATCCACCAAAACCCATCGTTTGGGAAATAAAACGGTCCAAAATACTTTGGGAAAAAAATTAAAAATAAAGTCTAAAAGTAGTTGAACATTCATATAAAAATCCGTATATTAAATTAGCTTGAAATTGAGGAGATTTGGCAAGGGGCTGCATTTGGTGAACTAATCCATACAAGGGATGTCATATTCCATTAGCGATCTAGTATGTGATTAGAGAAAAATAAAATAAAATTAATTTCACCAACCCTTCCGTCCGTTCTTGTATGGATCAACCTTCTTGGGAATCTTGAATGTCGGAACCCTTTCCAATGGCTGCGACCGTAATTTTCCAGGTTTTGTGTGAAAATAACGAACACAAGTTTCGCTTAATAACGTGATAATCCTGGGTTTAAAGTGTTTCTAATTCTAACGCTAACCCATGCATTTTTATTCATATAATTATAAATCAATGTCCCAATCATAGTCAGAATGAACAAAGAAAATTAGATCATGGCTCCATATGTATACACACACACACATATATATATATACGCACGAAGCGGAATTGAGAGAGAGAGGAGAACCCCAGAGTCCCTTTTGTCGAGAAGCTTCGCCACCGCCTTCCATAGCAGTCTTCTGAACAAAGCCCTAACCTTTAAGAAATCACGTGCGGCTCTGGTTTCCTTTTAATCATCTCGACTCTCAGATTTTTCGATCCCAGATTTCGTCGTGCGAACCCTAGATTCGGCTCCCAGTACCTTCAGGTAATCGGTTTTTTCGATTCAGTCGTTTACTTCGATTTTCCGAATATCCCAGGTTTTGATTGATCCGAAGGCGCTACTTATATATGTTGCGTTCATGGTTTTTCTCGAGATCGTTACAATTTCGTATGAAAGGTCTCAGGCTCAGCTCTTTTGATGTGGAACAGTAATTTTTCGAAGATGCAAGATTCGAGGACGCCGCCATTCTCAGAGAACGCTTATAGCTCTTCCGTCTCAAGGAGGAAGAAGAAATCTTCAGCTGGGAAACAGCCCTTGTCCCAGTTCCCAGTGAACGATGATGCCCAACCTTCTCGGAACAAGGCTTCGAAAAGGAATCATCGTCAACCCGAGATACCTAATTCGGATTCCTTGCCTGGCGACGAGTACCGAGCACTGAGGCGCAGGTATTTACTGCTGGAGGAAGAAAGCTCTGTGCTGGAGAACGAACTGAAAGCGGTTGAAGTTGAGGTTAAAGCTCTTGAAGATGACAAGCTTCATCTTTTGGACCAGCTCGTTGTGTTGGAGGGTCTGGTTGATCCTTCTGGACCGTAATTGCATCGATGCATGTTTGTCTGTCGGCTGTGTAATTACGCGGTATCATCCTTGGTCTTGGGGGAATCACATTGTCATTAAGGACTTTACACTCTCCAGTGAATAGAAAACATTAACATGGTCTCTGCTATGCTAGAATTGCTTTTGTTAATTAGAATCACTGGGATATAACTTATGTACAAGCAAGCAGCTATTATGTTTCTCTGGTTGCTTAGCTTGTGAGGCCTGCGGAATCTGGTGACGGGTTGTGCATGATCTGTGAGTAATTTGCTCACTGGTTCTGCATTTGTCGATTTCAGCATCTTATCTTTAGTGTTTGGAATTCGCTACGTCTCTAGAGTTAGCGTGTCTTGGGAGAGGTTTCTTCTTAAGCAAATGGCTGGTACCTCTGTCGTCTCTTTTGTCCAGGTTTTGGTTGCCATGGTGATGAGAGCTGCTGCAAACAGTTGCCCTTTACAGGCCATCCATCATCAAAGCAGTCGTGTGAATTGTGGAGACTGGATATTGTATACATGCTTGTATCTTTGACAATTTATGTGCAAGTTCATACTTTTTTCATTATAGTGTTGCAGGAGCTGAGATTTCAAGTCTGTCTCTTCAGATCCTGCTAACACTGGAGATAGTCTTTCTTTTTTTTTTCCCCTAAGAAATAAAGATTGGATTCACTGTCTTCATGATCTGATTTATACAGTCACATACAGGTATTGTCTGATGCAGCTATGGATCATCACCCAAGTTCAACCGAACAATGACGAAAACTACAAATACTGTAGAAGCAGAGCAGCAGCCGCCGCCGCCGCCATTGACCACAGTTGAGAATAAACTAGCGGAAGCTGCAAGAGAATCAAGGTTCTTGTTGGTGTTTAACCACAGTTGCTGAGACATGTTGACATTTGTTGTGACAGATCTTTTTGCATGTCCAAGGATTTGTCAACTCGGGTAGGTTTTTTACAGAGAAAAAATTTCAGTTGGCCGACAACCTCGGAGACTTACATATGGCAAATAACATGAAAGTGAAATGCAAAAAAAAAAAAATGATTTGTGTCATGAGGGAACTTATGTAGAGATGCTACCTTTTCTTCTTTTTCTTTCTCTCCATCTCCTCATAACCTCTTCTCTTGCCTCACTCGTTCCTTCCATTCTCTCCTGCTCCTTTGTGATCCCTTCCATGTTATGTCTAAGTTCTAGTGATGTTCTTGAAGGAAACAGAAGCTGTCTGCAACAACAGAGAAGAGCTACAAGAAGGGCGAAGTAGATGAACAGCGATGTCCACACGCATAACGTCCACTTCCAACTGTAAACCAACCGTTTCATCCATGGTGGTCTCGAGTTTATCACGATTTCTGCTTCGTACAACTGAGGCAATGACAGGGTTCGAGCCCTTGGAAGTAGAGTCACTCTCACAGCTTTTGTCCTAGGGCTCTTTTCCTTGTGCTTCAAGGCATCGACTTTCATCTTCTGGCTCTCGGTTGTCACCCCGGCCACGAGAGGTACGCTCATTGCAAATGTCCTTGCCAATCTTATCGGACGGCTCCTGAACGTTAACATGCACGGTTGGCTCGATTTCGAGATCGTTTCCCCTTTTGATGACAAAAGCTCTGTTTTCAACTTATGAACACAACCAAACGAACGGACCCAGATGATATATCTTAATCAAATCATAGATTTCGTATTGTATACGTATATGTACTTATGTATGTTTTACCTGAAAGAGTCCGATGTCTCTGTTGAAATCGGATTCAGGCATGAGAAGCAGCAAGGAGACATGAATCATATGCCCCACTGGAACACCACCAACTGGCTTCTTCCTTGTCTCGAACCAGAACAGAGCACTTGGGTTCACTTCAGTGTAATCGAAGAACAGCCTCTCTCTCACAGCCACAGGCTCTTCCACGTACATATTCACCAGCCCAACTCCGGCCACCGCCGCCATGGCCATCATCAGCACCAGCACCATGGACACGTGGCACGCGCCCAGAACCCCGAACCACGTCCTCCTCACCGCACGCGCCACAACCCGCGTGGCCCTCGACGGCGCCGTCTTCACCGCCGTCTCTGCAGCCGTGACTGCCGCAGCGGCGCGGCGGTAGGAGCGATGCATAGAACTTGTCCCTTCTGCACTTTATCTCCAACCTAAAGCAGCAAAAGAGCAGCACCATAATGGCAAAACATGTAAACATTATCAGTCTTCAAGACTTTAATTCTTGGCTATCCAAAACAATGTTTTATACCATTTTTCTTTTCTTCTTTCCGATGGGTGACGTCAGCACGAGGAGGGCGTTGTAGATGAGATCGGCGTGGAAGGAGATGACGAAGTCGACGAACCAATCGGCTCGGAGAGGTTGCGGGATGGTGCGATAAATGTCTTCTTGCTCGTCGTCTTCCATTGTTGGTGGTAAAGAGGAGATGATTTTCTGGTTACGGGTTTTCAGATTCAGATGACACAATCTGAGGGAAACCCAATTAGAACATTTTTTTTCTCTTTTCATGCATGAGAAGATGATACGTGTTGGCGAGTTTGTCCTAATGCCGGCACGTGGCGTGTAGAAGTCACGGTCTATCGCAACACAGCGTATACATAAAATATATGAAATTAATTCTATTCAATATTAAATTGTGTTTGATTAAAAGAATAAAAATGAAAGATAGATAAATTTTGTTTAAATATATAAAAATAAAAAATTAGATAAGAGAAACAAATTAATAGAGACCGACAAAATATGTGAAAGAACATAAACAACAATATATTTTTTTTGTTTTTCTAAATTATAATATTTAAATAATAAATAATAAGGTTAATATTTTTAACAATTTAACTTTACATATATATATATATATATATATATATATATTGCAATGAAATTGGACAAACACAGTTTACAAAATACTTTTAGCAAATTTCCATTTAAAGTAAATTACAAGACAACTTTGTACATGTTTTTGTTAGGGATGTCAAACCAGTCGATTCAGATCGTTTTTAGCTCGGTTCGTTTGGTTCAGATCGTTTTGAGTTAGTTTTCTGATCTGAACTAGTCAGATCGTTGAACCAGATATATATAATATTTTTTTATTTATATTTATTCTAAAATTAACAATAAATTAAAATAAATACATAAAAAAAAAGAAAACTTTAATATCATAAACTATATAAAAAAAGTGTTGGTTGAGATTTTAAAAGATTAAAAAATAATTTAACAATAGTGTAATAAAAAATAATTTAAATAGATAATAACAACAAAATATATTTCAATAAAAATTTTATATTTATACTCTAAATTTCATTTAATATTTTTAATTATTACCACCATAGTAATTGAGATATTTATATAAATATGTTAGAGTTTTTTATATAAATTTATTTTTAATTTTTTTAAAAAAATTAGTTCGTTGAACAATTTACCAACTCGCCGAACTGGTTTGTTATGCCTATGAGTTCAATAAACTAATTCATTAGACTCATTTTTTAGTGAATTGAAAAAATTATGATTTAGATCGCTCGTTTTCGGATGATTCGGACTCGTTTTGACATCCAGTTTTTGTGGCATGTCTGATTTGCTTAATCGAACAAAGCGGGCACCCAGTTGGAAAAAATCCATTCGTTAATTCCACGGCCTTAACCTGCACCGTCATGTACTATATAAAGCCTGACCGAAATCGGATAAGATTTTCCTTTTTTTTCTTAGAAAAAAGTTATAAAGCAATTATATTTGTGCCCGTCGGGCAAAAACTCTGTTGTCACAATCAGGAGGCCAAAAAAAAACAAATCTAGGGTTAGGGTTCTCTACGTGTTCTCTCTCTCCGCAATAGCCGCCATCGACGATGACCGGTAAGGCGAAACCGAAGAAGCACACGGCGAAGGAGATCGCCGCGAAGCTCGACGCAGCAACGACGAACAGAGGCGGAGGAAAGGCGGGTCTCGCCGACAGGTCCGGTCAGGAAAAGGGCGGTCATGCCAAGTACGAATGTCCGCACTGCAAAATTACCGCTCCTGATGTCAAGACGATGCAGATCCATCACGAGTCCAGGCATCCGAAGATTCCTTTCGAGGAGGCGAAGGTCACGAACCTCCACGCGAGTCGTCCTGCAGATCTGGCCAAACCTAAACCCGGTATCCGGGGAAGCCTCAAGAAGTGATGAATTCGGTTGTTTTGAATTGGATTTGGATGTGTTGAGGAATCGAATTCCTTAAATTTGTGATCTTTTTAATCTATATTACGGTGGGTTTGGGTGGATTTGTTCGATGTAAGAAATACTGCCTGACTCATCATGTATGGCTGCGTTTTTCTGATCGCATAATACTATCATTTGATATTTTCCATGGAAGGGGTTTTATACGAAGAATTGAATATGTGATTAATGGAGGTTTTCCTGGTTTGCTTTTGCAGTCTCTCTGTTTACTTCTTTATCAGATCATTTAGAGGTAGGGATCCGTCTGATAAAGAAGAGAGAGAGAGAGAGAGAGCTCTCGCATCAACATCTCAGTTTCAGTTCGGATATGTTTGGTCTTAAGGGCAAGCAAGCAAGCAAACCCTTGTTGGTAGTTTGGTTCCTTCCTTGGTGAAATCAGGAGATTCAGTTTATTATCTTGCATGTTGAAGTTGTGTTTGTGCTTCATATAAGCAAGGCTGTTGTTTATTTTTCAGTAAAGAAACCGTCTTTTGGCTTGGATTCTCTTTCGCCAAGGGATTCAACGCTCTTCCTGGTAAAAGTCAGATCATCAAAGCCTTTGTTACCCTGAATTGGATTACAGAAGTTTGATTAAAAAAAATTTGTATTGCTTCGTAACCCATCAGTCTTTTGTCAATGTGATGTCTCCAGAGCACCAAAAGACTGATTTTTCTTGGTGATTAAGGAATCTGAGTAGGGATAAGGTTTGTCTGAATTACCATCACAAGGACAGAGCGATGCCTGAATAGTGAATGTGTTGAATTGTGTATTTACCCTTCACTTTATTTTCTTTGTATTGTCTATATATCATTTGTATATTTTATGTTATTTGATCAGACACTCGAAAAATGAACGGAAATCTCGTTCATTGGAATTGGTTTATTATACCCTGAAGTGTTTTAGGAATCCAAAGCCATCCATCTAAGTCAATCTGTTGTGTTGGGCCTTCCAGTTTATACGTACGGAAGAAGAGGGGTGACGTGGAATCTCTAGGTTGCGGGCGGAGAAGAGCGGACGTGGGGACTCAGGTCGGGGTGCAGCGTAACTAAGAGAGCCATTCCATTTAGGGCGAGACATAATGGGCGGGCACGAGCGGTCTGGTGTCCACTTGTAAATGGGGCCCACCATCTTTCTTAAGATGCTTTGAACCGGACTTCCACCAATGTTTTTTAATATGTTCTGAACCTTGAGAGTCAACAATGGCCGTCTTGATTACAAGAATGTGACACCATCATCCATTGGTTACTAATTTCTTCAATAAAATGCGAATACATTCATGTTACAACGCTATATACACATACATATTTCTTAATTCACGGTCGCCGTACCATTTTATTTTCCTCCAATTGTATCATGACACGTGTCTTTCACTTGTACGAAAATGGACGACTTTTTTTACATATATATAATTTCAGATAATTGCATACAGAATCCAATGGTTGATGTCAAAGACAAGACTTTGAGGTTTCTGTATCATGGGGCAATGTAAGCTATGCGCTAACCAAAAAAAAAAAACAATCTGACAAAGGATTCAACAAAAAAAAACGAAACCCGACGAATCAAAGAAAAAAAAAAATCCGTATCCGATTCCCCGAGTTCCAAGAAAGCTCTCTACGCCAATCCTAAACTATGGTGGCTTGGGCCTTGTGGACGTTTTCCTCGTGATAGAGCAACCGCCTATTCTTCAGACCATAACCATGGTACCTGTAGATTATGCTGTACAGACACTGCCGCAATCTCAACGCGTCGAAATTCTCGATGAACCTCAAATCCGTATCCCTCGATTTAATCCCTGCAAACTTCTGGTATTCGTCAAACACCGAAGAAATGCACCAGTTCTGCAATTTCCTCAGGCATCCCACCAGACAACCTGTCCTGTGCTGCATATCATCCATCCCATGTCCCATGTTTATTTATACATGAGTTAACACTGTAACTGTATTGGTCGACAGAAAAAAGCATGTCATCGGAGATTGAAGCTTGTTGTGATTTACCTTTCCGCGCTTGCAATGGATCAGAACTGGATGGTTTCTTACATCTGCAAGCATGATCATGTAAACCCGTAAAAACATCTGTGACATTCGAGACACGAAAATGTAAGAAAGGCAGACGCTGATTGGTTACCAACTAGGGCTTTTAGAGCAGCCATGACTGTGTCCTTTGGCATAGGAGATGGAGGATCCTGCAGATGTAATCAAGGAATGTAACAGTGATTTAAAGAACAAACATTACACAAAAACAGAAAAAGGGTATAACCAGAAACAAAGTGAGCAGAACAGTTCTTAAAGATCTCAAGGATTCAAGCTCCGTCTTACCACAACAGCAGATGCAGAATCCCAAAGAAAACATGGGTTTTGACGAGAGAAAGATGAATCATACCGTTTTGCCTTCGATTCCGAATTGGAAAAGCTTAATGTCCTTGGACTCAAGAAACTTCAGGTTCTCCTCCGGGTACAGTTCGGGACACAGATATCTGTTTTGCAGAATTCCCAACAGTGAAATCTCTCATCGCTTTCCGACGTATTCTCAGGAAAATCACTATCATGATTCGGAAGCGAAAGAACTTTTTTTCAAAAAAAAAAAAAAAAGAGGGGAAGTCGTCCTTACATGATGGATCGAAGATTTAGGGTTCCAAGGAAACCGAAATTAGCAGGCTCAGGAAACCCAGATCGGTAAATGAGGTCTTCAACCATGGAGAAATTCGACGGCGGCACGAGAAGCCCGTAATTATCATCCTCTTCCACAATCAACCCCATCTTCTCCGACAAGAAATTCCGGCGAGTTTCCGATCAATTACTCTCTCTCCCACAAAATCCCTCTCTCCTCCGGAAGGGAAAATAAAAGCGAGAGAAGAAAGGGTTTTATATAAGGAATTTGTGGGTTCCCTTTTCCCCCTTCTAATCAAAAAATGAGACATCGAAAGAGACTTCAAGATTATATTCGGACTTTTCTTAGGTTTTTCTCCGATTTGGCAAAAACACCAAACCGCCATTCACAATCTTTGTTGGATTCTTCTTCTTGTTTTTTTTTTGGATTCTGTGAATATTTTTATGCATATTCTCTGGATCTCCCCTATCGTGACACGTGTCGTTTCCATCGCTTCTCGGTAGCTGAACCTCCGAATCCGCGGGTAAATCTTATTTTTAATAAGATTAAATAAAAAATTATGAAAACACCGTTTTAGTTTTCTTTTACAGCCGTAAAAAATATTTTAAAAAAATTAAAGTTTTTTTTTAACGTTGCAACTCAACGCTAACGTCAACGTAAGAAATGGGTTACATTTAATGAAAGTTCTTAAAATCAAGATTTTGCTCCAAGAATCAAACAACCTTACAACAAGATGCTCCGTATGTTTTCTCCTGTGAATCAGACATAACTAGAGAAGAAAAGGCGGACAATAGTTTTTTCTTGACAAGGGAAACTTGTTTCAGATTTCAGAATAAAAGCCCATCTGTGTCTCAATCTCTCTAGATTTTATGTTTCAAAAGATTTTTTTTTTCAATCCTCTCGTGTCTGTATGTGTGTGTGAGTGTACATATATGTGCGTGTGTGTGTGTAGTTTCAAGCTTCAACAATGGCGTCCAACCATGTAGTTTCAGACTCAGTCCAGAAGAGAAGAAGAAGCAGTTCTTCCCTCTGATTCGCTCCGATGCATCAGAGAGCCATCTTCCTCGTCATCATCATCATCATCATCAGAATAAACGCTTTCTCGGTTAGATTTAGAGCTATGCGTCTGATCAAGTTGAGCATTCTCGCCATTGCTGCTGGTTCGAAGACTCGCTTTCCTCAGAGAATCCTCCTCTCTGTCACTATCATACTGAGAGGAAGAAGTGCTTTCCTCATTCGATTTCCTGCTGCTTTTGTTGCTCAGCCGTCCATTCTCTTCCTCCGAACTATAACTGTACTTGATCCTCAAGCTCTGCGCCTCCGTGTTTATGTCATCGGCCGATCTTCTCAAGTGATCACAAGATTCTCCGCTCTTTCCAAGATTGACTTCTGGGTCTTCTTCTTGTTCAGACTCATCACTGTCGGAATGGGAATCAGACCCATCATCATCATCTGAGTCCGTTCCGCTCTGTTTATGTTTACTCGCTGTCTGAATGTTGTCCTGGGTGTGGTGGAGAGAAGGCTCGTCGTCATCATCATCGTCATCTGAATCATCTGAGTCATGACTGGACTTGTCATCTTCCTTGGAAGGATCTGGAGGGTAATGAGGAGTTACAGAGCAGGAATCGTGACGGCTCAAGGCAAGGGACATACTCTTGTCCCTAAAAGACAAGATGGGAACTGCAGTGGGAATACCATCTTCTGTAGACATGGAAAGGAAGCTAAGTGCCACCATTACATCGCTTATCAATGGACGTGCACCCGCTTCTTCTTGCAGACACATTGATGCTATTGCCACTGCTTGGTTCAATCCTCTTTCTGGGAACTTCTTCCTTAGTAGTGGATCCGCCATGTTCGGGTATAGTTTCGGATCTCTAAATATGGGTTGTGCCTGCTCATCACAAAGATCAAGTCTGTTATCTAATATAACATGTAACTTCAGGAAACATGATCAAAAGGTTATTACCCACGAAACTAGATTCTGTTCATCAATAGGCTTGGTAGTGTCAACAGCCTTTCTACCGGTGATGAGCTCGAGAAGAACAACTCCGAAGCTATAGACGTCAGATTTGATAGTGAGATTATCCCCACGAGAATACTCAGGAGCACAGTAACCATACGTTCCCATTACTCTGGAAGAAAGAGCCATCTTGTCAGTGGAGCCCGGCCCTAGTTTATGCAAACCAATGTCACAGAGCTTTGGGTTGAACTCTTCGTCCAGTAATATATTTGAAGCTTTCAAATCTTGGTACACAACCGGTGGATTCACTTTATCGTGCAAGTAATCCAGCCCTTGTGCTGCCCCAAACGCTATTTTCATCCTCACTATCCAGTCCATTGCCTTCTGGTTTGCCTTTGGATCTGCAAAAAAAAAACAATCCACATAAAAAACCCAACTTTCCCATACCCTTTTGTTTAAACAGAAAAGGTACCACGAACTGAAGTGAAAAGGTTGAAACTTGGGTTGGTACCATGAAGATGGTCATGAAGAGAACCTTCAGAGACAAATTCATAGACCAAAAGCCTTTGGTCTCCATCAGCACAATAGCCTACAAGCTTGACAAGATTCGGATGTTCAAGTAGACTTATCGTTGAAACCTCTGCTTGAAACTCTTTGTTCCCATCCAGAAATCCATGCCTGTCTAGCTGCTTCACTGCCACCACCTACGCACTCCCCCATTTTAACAACATGATGAATATGTGTGTATATATTATATATACGCACATATATACCATTGTCATTCCATTGAACTTTAAACTCATGTAATTGTCCAGAAATAAAATACCCATAAAAAAAAGCTAAAATTTTGAGTAAGAGCAGATTAAGAAGATTGGGAAAAACCTGTCCAGTAGATTGAAGGGTGCCTTTGTAAACCCTTCCGAATCCACCTTCCCCCAACAAGCATTCTTGTCTGAAATTTCTCGTGGCAGTTGCTAACTCACGAAACGTGAATGTTTTCACGTTCGTTCTTATATTCTCTGTCTTCTCTGTCTCAACCTTGTTACCTGTTCAAAAACCCACATCCATCCATCGAAACGATCGAAATCCACTCAAATCATTATGGGTTCATTTCGTCGAACACCTTCAACGCGACTATGAGAATCTTGAAAACAGAAGACTTACCCGGTGGTCTGGGCTCGATCACATTGTTGTCTTCAGATTCAAGATCCTGCTTGCTGGGAGGATTCCTGCTCTTTTGCGAAGAGAAACAAGGGAAACAGTTCATGATGGCTTGCATGCGAAAAGGTAATAGGAAAAAAAAAAAGGAGAGATTTTTTTCGTTGTCGGAAATGGCGGGTCCTTCAAGGGATTGAAGGACCCACGATAAAGGGCCAAAAAAAAAAATTGAAGAATGAGAGATAAATCAAGAAGAAAGAGAAAGGGAGACAGAGAAGAGAATTCAGGCCACCGGAATCAATGACGAATGTGAAATCTCCGACGAACTCTGCGAGAAGAAGGGGGTGGAAATTTTGAGTGGACATTTCTTCTTTTCTTTATTTGCTTTTCTATTCTCTCTCTCCCTCTCAAAAACGTCACTTCCCAAAACCATGGAGAACCATTCTTCTCCCATCCCATCTCTGTAAAAACCTAATTTTAAGTTTAAACAAATACAAATGAAAATACCGAAAATAATAGTTGATGACATGACAGCAGATAAAGAAACAGCCGAATACATCCTTTGAGTTCTTGGGAATTGCCATTGAGTGAAAAGCGCGATTCATATGCCTCTCCCACATCGAACACTTAAAAGAGAACTGGATTTGATTCCTGAATTGTCGGAGATGTTGTCGGGAAAAGTTGCTTCTAGAGTTAACTTGTTGTTTAGTTCCTCATGAAAATCCACGTACGCAATGCAGCTTTTTTGTATGGTTATTGGGCCTAAAATGAACTCGGGCCTACGTATAAGCTCGGTATTGAATTGGGCCCATATTTTTCTCTGTTACTTCACGCTCCAACGCCATCATCCACCCCCCCCCCCGAGAGCAACTTCCGAGTTCTGGCCATGGCTTCCTCCTCCTTCTTCTTCAGCCCTTTAAAGCATTACTCTCTGATTCAACCTTATGCTTACGCGTAGATCTATCTCCGAAGCCTTGTTTCGATCAATTACGTGAGGAATTTGAAATTATCTGAAGACTTTGGTGTGTACTTTATCTTCGCACATCACTTCCGATTTTCGGTGTGTTTCAGCCAAATCTCCATTGAAAATCTCCGAAAGGTACGCCTTCAGGGACTGATCTCTTCGGCATTCTTGTAGCTCCTTTGGATCGTGCTTTTTTTGCCTAATGGATTTTCGTTCCTGATGGGTCTCAAACCTGTTAAATCTATGTCGTGTGCGATTGACGTGACCCTCTGTGATTGCGTTTCTGGTTATCTGTAGCTATCTTTACGGAAATGGTCTCTTACCTGTTTCGCCTGCATCTATGTCGTCGTAGGAATTATTCAGTGTTGGTGAATGATATGTTAGATATAGAAATTGAATTCAAAATCTTTGTTTTTACTAGTTCTTAGCTTCTATGCCTTTACAAAAATGTAGCGTTACGGTGGCAAATTGTTTCTGTGATACGTACTTTCAAGCTTCTGTTTTCGCGTTTATGGCTCTCCGAGTTCTGGGAGGTGGAATTAGCTTCTTTGTTGAGGGGGGAGATTATCCAAGCTTAACATACGCTTTTCTGTGTCTTTGGTCGTCATTGAGACAAAGTTCTGCGCCTTCATGTCTTTCTGATCCATCTCTCCTAGTATTTCTTCTGGTAGTAAAGTCAAGTGGTTTTGTCTCATTCCGTTCTTCTGCATATCTTTGTTTTCTCTACAGAGCGTACAGTCAAGAAGATATCTCTCCATGGGCTGTGCCCTTCAAAGATGACAGATGCTTTTCATCGAACCTGAGGGGAAACTCGTTCGGGCTCTGTTATATGGTTTTCAGTTGCGATGCCACAATGGCCGAGGGAGCTTTAATTTCACTGGAGCCGGCAGACATTTTGGCGGCGGAACAGACATTGGTGATTGGGAAAGAATTTCCAGATGTGGAAACATGCAGAAGAACTTTGAAAGATTTGGCTATAGCGTTACACTTTGATCTTCGTATAGTGAAATCAGATCGCAGCCGGTTCATAGCCAAATGCTCCAAGGAAGGTTGCCCATGGCGTATCCATGTCGCTAAATGTCCGGGTGTTCCAACCTTTTCGATTAGGACACTTAACGGGGAACATACTTGTGAAGGAGTCCGTGATCTCCATCATCAGCAGGCATCGGTTGGTTGGGTTGCGAGGTCAGTGGAGGCACGGATTAGAGATAACCCACAGTATAAGCCGAAGGAAATATTACAGGACATACGTGATCAGCACGGGGTTGCAGTTTCTTACATGCAGGCCTGGCGTGGGAAAGAACGGAGTATGGCTGCACTTCACGGGACATACGAGGAAGGATATCGTCTTCTTCCTGCGTATTGTGAGCAGATAAAACAATTAAACCTGGGAAGCTTCGCATCTGTTTTCGCTTCGGGACCCGAGAATTGTTTCCAGCGCCTGTTTATCGCGTATCGAGCATGTATCTCTGGATTTGTTAGTGGTTGTAGGCCTCTTCTTGAAATTGATAGAGCTCATCTAAAAGGGAAGTACTTGGGTACGATACTCTGTGCGGCCGCTGTTGATGCGGGTGATGGATTATTTCCTTTGGCAATCGCCATTGTCGACGTTGAAAGCGATGAGAATTGGATGTGGTTCGTGTCAGAGTTGAGGAAACTTCTTGGGATGAATACAGAGAGCATGCCAAGGCTGACAATACTCTCGGAGAGACATCGGGGAATGGTGGAAGCAGTCGAAACCCATTTCCCGACGGCTTTCCACGGGTTTTGTCTGCGTTACGTCAGTGAGAATTTCCGTGATACTTTCAAGAACTCAAAGTTGGTCAATATCTTTTGGAATTCGGTATATGCACTCACTGCGGCTGAGTTCGAGTCCAAGATAGCCGAGATGGTGGAGATCTCCCAAGACGTGCTACAATGGTTCGACCACTTCCCTCCCCAGCTTTGGGCGGTGGCGTATTTTCAAGGCGTACGATATGGGCATTTCGCCTTAGGCATCACCGAGATATTATACAGCTGGGCACTCGAATGCCATGAACTGCCGATCATACAGATGATGGAGCACATCCACGAGGAAATATCGTCTTGGTTCAACAACCGGCGGGATATGAGCATGAGGTGGAACTCGATACTTGTACCGTCAGCCGAGAGACAAATCTCGGAAGCAATCTCAGACGCACATTGCTACCAAGTTCTCCGAGCAAACGAGGTCGAGTTCGAGATTGTGTCCACAGAGAGAACAAATATCGTGGATATAAGAACGCGGGTTTGCTCCTGCCGCCGCTGGCAGCTCTACGGACTGCCTTGCGCTCATGCAGCCGCAGCTCTGATATCGTGTGGACAGACAGTGGAGCTGTTTGGCGAGCCGTGTTTCACAGTGGCGAGTTATCAGCAGACGTACTCGCAGATGATAGGTCAGATTCCGGACAAGAGCCTGTGGAAAGAACAAGGTGAAGTACTGGACAGCGTCAACGGGAGAGGGTCGAAGTTTGATGTCCCGATACGGCCTCCGAAGACACGTAGGCCGCCGGGTCGGCCGAAGAAGAAAGTTCAACGAGTAGAGAACCTGAAACGACCGAAGAGGATTGTTCAGTGTGGAAGATGCCACTTGCTCGGACATTCTCAGAAGAAATGCACTTTGCCCATTTGACATTGACTCTCTCTCTCTCTCTCTCTCTCTCTCTCTCTCTCTCTCTCTCTCTCTCTGATGTAAGTTGTAATGTTGAAAAGGTATCGCCTTTTTTGCACTCTTTTGGAGACGGACCAAAAGAGGGTAAAAGAATGATGTTTTTAGCCAAAGGGCTTTTGGGTTCTATCATCTCTGTGCCCATTTCTCGATCATTATTGAAAATGTATCAGCTAAATTCACTGGTTCGAGCTTCATGTGGGTAACCCATATCCGTTATATTGTGTGAATTTGGATGCCATAACGTATAACGCATGCGAAAAAGCGAAACTCAAAAAACGTCTGAATAATTTCGAGAGTTTGCAACGCGCGTAGAGCGAGAGGCGAATGCGGAGACGTTGGACCAATTCTACAGGAACGTGTTAAGATAAACCGTTCCCACGAATAAGTTTGCCTCCTTTTGTTTATTCCTCTGAAACTAAAGATACGAGATCTGCTCCGTCTCTCCATCTTCCTTCAGGTGAACGCATCGTCGACCCTTTCGGTTTTCGGTTCGCTTTTCTGGTAATCTCTTCTGGGTTTTGGTTTGATTCCCTGCTTTGATTTGCTACTGTCCATTCCTTGTTTGGGTATTGTCTGAAATCGCGACGTATATGTTACCCATTGCATGATTCTTCTTGTTCTGTGCTGTGAAGACGAAACGGAGTCTGGGTTTCATGGGATCTTGATCAAGGGAGGATTTTTCTCAATTTAAGCAGCTTTTTATGGAAATTTTGCCTGCGATTCACATTTTGTCAGAGTTTTGATCATCAGCCCGAAACTGTTCATGCGCTCCTGAGTGGATTTGGGGCTTTTAGTATCAAAACCCAGATGACAAAATACGGGATCAAACGCATATAGATAGCTTTCAAAGTAACATACTCGAGATAGTTTTATATACATTGCATCAACCTCCTGTATAGAATGGAATATAGCCTAGATTTTTAGATGATTTAATTGGGTTTTGCATGTTTCTGGAAATGTTCAGATTCTTTGATTACCCTTCCTGTAGATTTGCGGCAGCTATAGCTCATGAGCGTTTGAAGTTAAGTCCTTAAATTGATTCTTAAGGTAGAGTTGTGTCTTAAGGAATCAGATATAGGGAGGAATCTTATATGATCTCTTCTGATAGCCTGTGATTTGTAACTTTTCATATGAAAGAAAAGGAACTAGTTCATCTACATAAACGGATCCCGAATTGAGAATATCAAAGTGATAGGATTGCATTTCTTGTTTCATAATCCTTAATAGTAGATTGTGCAAAGCTGAGCTTTTCAAGTTTTGATTGAAACATCTGCAGAGAAGTTCCTTTGAAGCAAATCCTTGGATCTCTGCTTATTAGAGAGCACAAGGCTATTCTCTTACTGCTAGAAGATAAGATGTCACTGACAGAGATAGATAAGAACGAGGTCGACATTGTCATAGGGGCACTTCATTCCGACCTCACATCGTTCATGAACAGCTGGAAACCATTATTTTCCGGATTCCATCTTATTATTGTCAAAGATCCTGATCTCAAGGAGGAGCTCAAGATACCAGAAGGCTTCGACATTAATGTCTACACAAAGTCTGACATGGACAAAGTTGTGGGTTCATCCAATTCCAACATGTTCTCGGGTTATTCCTGTAGATATTTTGGATATCTTATATCTAAAAAGAAGTACATTATCTCGGTAGATGATGATTGTGTCCCGGCAAAGGATCCCAAGGGCTTCCTGGTGGATGCTGTTAGTCAGCACATAAACAACCTCACTTCACCAGCCACGCCTCTTTTCTTCAATACCCTTTATGACCCGTATAGCGAGGGAGCAGATTTTGTACGTGGATACCCGTTCAGCCTCAGAAGCGGTGTCCCTTGTGCCGTTTCGTGTGGGCTCTGGCTGAATCTGGCTGATCTCGATGCCCCGACACAAGCCCTCAAGACAGAACTGAGGAACTCCACTTATGTTGATGCTGTAATGACAGTTCCGGCCAAGGCCATGATGCCCATAAGTGGAATCAACATTGCTTTCAACCGCGAGCTGGTGGGTCCGGCTTTGGTGCCATCTCTCAGATTGGCTGGCGAAGGGAAAGTGCGATGGGAAACGATGGAAGACGTATGGTGCGGGATGTGCATCAAAGTCGTATGCGATCATTTAGGATATGGCGTGAAGACTGGACTGCCTTACGTGTGGAGAAACGAGAGAGGAGATGCGGTGAATAGCTTGAGGAAAGAGTGTCGACAGTT